CAAAGATTCCATTATCCCCCTTGAAATAAGATTGCCTGGATCCAAGAAGGCATCTCCTATCCTCATCTCTTACCTAGTAAAGAAGCCACTGCAATGCTTTTCAAAGAAGCTACTGTTCCCCTCATTAATGCTTTTCTTGTTGCCTTGGAGAAGGAAGAATCTTCTTGGGCCCTTCAGAGGTATACAGTTAGTGGTTGCACATAACAAGTGCACTCCAAAATTCCCATCTCTCTAAACTTTGTACTTCTTCCTCTACTTTGCTCCTCAAAGTATATAATCTGAGGACCAGTAGCATCAGCATCACTTAATTTGTTAGAAATGCCGCTTCTTGGGTTTCACCTCAGACCTGGTGAATCAGAATCTACAGTTTAACAAGACTCCCATGTGAATCACATGCATATCAAAGTTTAAGAAGCAATGTTCTACAATATGTTAGTGAGCTTCCAACATCTCAACCTCATTGATCAAAGGCCACTGTTGAGTCCACACTTCCAGGAATCAACCCAACATACTATCAACACCACTCCCAGGAGCTGAGCTAATTCCTGAGTGAGGGCACCAATATCAATAAATCTGTCCTCACTGGTCCCCAAGATTCTCCCAAGACAGTTGACAAGTTCCTGTAACTCTTTCAACATATATGCTCTTGTTCTTGGAGCACATCTTGTACATCCTTATAGAGACTATGAGGAATGGTCACGGTAAGTCCTGAAGAGAAAATGCATGCCCTGTGCCAGGAAGTTATTAAAAACATCTTTTTAATGGAAGGAAAGGTCGAATAATTCATAATTTGCAGGAGGACTGTTCTTCTGCCAGCAAGAAAGGTTCAGGGTGATTTGAAGATCCAAAATTATCTGCTTTAGTGGTCCCTGGGTGGCTCAGCAGTTTAGCATCTGTCTTTGGCCCAGGGTGTGATCCTGGAGTCCTGGGATCAAGTCCCACACTGGGCTCCCTGCATGGAGCCTGCTTCTCCCTCTGCCTGTGTCTCTGCCTCTCTTTCTCTCTCTCTTTCTGTGTCTCTCATGAATAAATAAATAAAATCTTTAAAAAAAATTATCAGCTTTAGGGACACTTGTCTGGCTCAATTGGTGGAGCATGTGATTCTTGATCTCAGAGTTGTGAGTTTGAGCCCCAAGTTGGGCATAGAGATTACTTTTTTAAAAAGTTTTAATGTAAACATTAAAATATAGGGGAGCCGGCGTGGCTCAGTGGTTTAGCACCGCCTTCAGCCCCAGGCATGATCCTGGAGACCCCGGGTCGAGTCCCACATCAGGCTCCCTGCATGGAACCTGCTTCTCCCTCTGCTTGTGTCTCTGCTTCTCTCTCTCTCTCTCTGTCTGTCATGAACAAATAAAATCTTTAAAATTTTTTTTAATATTTTTAAAGATTTTATTTATTTATTCATAAGAGACACACAGAGAGAGGCAGAGACATAGGAAAAGGGAGGAGAAGCAGGCTCCATGCAGAGACCCCTGACAGGAGACTCGATTCCGGGACTCTGGGATCACACCCTGAGCCGACAGCAGGCGCTAAACCACGGAGCCACCCAGGGATCCCTGAAAATATATTTTTTTAAGATTTTATTTATTTATTTATTTATTTATTTATTTATTTATTTTATTTAATTTAATTTATGAGACACACAGAGAGAGGCAGAGGCAGAGGGAGAAGCAGGCTCCATGCAGGGAGCCCGATGTGGGACTTGATACCGGGTCTCCAGGATCAGGTCCCGGGGCTGAAGGCGGTGCTAAACTGCTGAGTCACCTGGGCTGCCCAGAAAATATTTTTTAAAAAACATAATTATCAGCCTTGTTCATCTCTTTCCAAATGTCCTCATCACAAGTTTCAGAATCCAATTCCTTTCCAACAGCACCCTTATTCTAGCTTAAGGGATATGGTAGAGTTGTGCATTTACCTGGTGTCGCAACTCTGCAACCCATACAGTCAGGTCTTGGGCTTGATCCTCAGCCACATCTGCCCTGTGATCAAATAAAATTAAGATTTCTTAAGAATTAAGAATTCCATAGAGTTTATCTGGATCTCCACCCACACTTTGAGATAGAAGTTCACAGTATCTTTTTACCTTTTTTTAAAATGTAATTTTTCTAGCAGTATCAAAAACAGGCAACCCACTCAACAATATATGTAGGTCCTCATCATTTGAAGTTACCATTTGTGGCCATAGTAATTAAGTACCTCAGTCATTTTTTTTATCTCCTAATGCCTTGGCCTCCACCAACATTTCCCCTATGCCTCACTGGTAATAATCCAAGTGACTGTGATGCTTCTGCATGCTCCAGATTACTTTGTGTCCTCTTTCCCCATGCAGAGATTATCTGTGCATTTATCAAATATATTAGCAGCCCAATCCTAGAATCCCATTGTGGGAATCTATTTCCTGGGATCTCTTCTGTGGCTTGGTCGGTTAAGCGTCTGCCTTCTGCTCAGGTCATGATCCCAGGGTCCTGGGATTGAGCCCTGTATTGGGCTCACTGCTCAGTGGGGAGCCTGCTTCTCCCTCCCCTCCCCACCCATGCTCTCTCTATTTCTGTTTCTTAAACAAATAAATAAAATCTTAAAAAAAAAAAAAAAAAGATCCTGGCAGGAAACAGGTGGCACATGCAAAAAAACTTCAACCAGAAAGATTTTAACAAAGAAGCTATTTAAGAGGTGGGGTCAAGATTAAGAAACCGACATGGGGGTGGTGAGGCACCCAGGATTTAGCAATAGTGGGAAACCATTACCATACCAAAGCCTGATGGGTCAAGAAGAGGGAACAGGGTTTCAGGAACCTTACAGAGAGACCCACAGAGAAGAGGCAGCCCCAAAGGATATGTAACTGTAGAGGAGTGGTTCTCAGACTTCGACACGTAGCAACACACAGAAGATGTGTCAAAATACACATTACTCCAGGAGGTCTGGGATAGCACCTGAGAATTCCCATTTCTAACAAATTTCTAGGAGATGCTGCTGCTGCTGTTGGAAGACCACTCTTGAAACAACTACCAGAAAGAAAACTATTCACTGCCAGGACTGCAGCAAGATGAAGGATCTGGAGAATTAACTTCTCTCTCCTATCATCTACCGATCTCCTGCTGCTGCCTCCTGTGGACCAAACTCAAAACAGAAGCTGGAAGGCAAAGGATCCTGAGTAATTCAGTCTAGAGAGGTCAGGCTTTCAGAGAACAGAGCAGGGTAGAGCAGAGTGGAGGATGGATGAGGGTAGGAACAGAGAATAATCAGAACCGCCATAAGCAGAAGGATGCAGAGATCAATGGAAAGTTCAGATGAACTGACATATATCTGAATGAAAGGGCAGAATAATAATAATCGACAATATTTGATGAGTATTTATCACATGCCAGTCTCTAAACTAAGGACTTTACTCAGATTACCTTCTAAGGTAACCCTAAGAAGTCGATCTATAGGGGCGCCTAGGTGGCTCAGTCCGTTAAGCATCTGCCTTTCACTCAGGTCATGATCCCAGGGTCAGAGGATGAAGCCCCATGTCGGGCTTCCTGCTCAGCGGTGACTGTTTCTCCCTCTCCCTCTGCTGCTCTGCCCGTGTATGCACTCTTTCTCAAATAATTAAATAAAATCTTAAAAAAAAAAAAGGTAGACCTAGTACCATTCCTATTTTATAGATAAGGATATTAAGACACAGGAACTGGATAACTTGCACATGGTGACACAGCTAGCAAGTGATGGAATTTGAATCTCAACTAAGGCATTCTATCTGTAGAGTCTCACTGATCTGTACTGTTCTATGATCAATGGACAGTCAGCAGATGGGCGCATGGGATAGTGGGAAAAAGTGTAAACCTTAAAGCAAAAGACACCTAAGCACAAGACAGTTACTTGCCATGTGATCTTGTGCTCTGAGCCTCATTTTCTTTATGTGTAAAAAAGGAACAATAATATGTTAATAATATAAATTACTTCATAGTTTTGTTGGGGAAGTTAGTAAAATCAAGTCTTTGATACAGAGCCCAGCACAGAGTAAAGACTAAGAAATACTGTTATTATTAATAATAATAATAATGGATGGAAAGAAAGATAAGTCAGAAATTTATGAGGGAAACACCACCCCATCCAAGAGAGGGTTCAGAGCTTGGGTGGGATGGTTGAATGGGTGTACCACATATTAACTTCCCTTTTGAGTCCTGGTCTTTCTCATAATGATGGGAAACCACTCATCCCCTCCTCCATCTGTCAATTCCTTGAAAATTTGGGGATTGTCTGAATATTTGCTGACAAGCCCCTCTCCTTAAAAAATCCCCTCTTGGTTCCCAGGATTGAGAGCAGGGGCAAGATGAAGGAAGCTCTTCCAGGCCAGGCTCCCTCCAGATGTTCTGTGGAACAGGTGTTAGATATATGAACATGGCAAATAGAGAAGGGGTAGTGTTGGCTGAGCCAGGAGATTGAATCCCAAAGGACCGAGATGCGGGATGGGTGCTGGGCCTCCTCCCAAGGAATATTTCCCTTTCAACTCTGCCAGGAAGGGACTGGCTCCCAGAAAATGGATAGGCAGCACTGGGGGCCATCCCAGGCTTCATGGTTGTTCTGAGAGGACCAGAGAACCTTCTTCACCCCCACAAGCACCAGAGAGAAGAGAAGAACCACAGAGATGGGAATGAGAATTAGGGGCTGAACCCAGGGAAGGGGTTCAACTCCTCATTCTGACCCCCCAGTCCTGACCATCACTTCTGAAAGCCAGCCCTATGGTTAATGATGCAAATACCACCAGGAAGGTGATATTGCAGATCCTCTATCCTGAGCTGGCATTTCAAAGTCCCTTCTCTTGACCAGACTGCAGACTGCTTAGGTTCTCAGAGATGAAGCCAAAAAAAGCAGAAGAGCAGGGAAGCTACTGAGGAAGAAGGGGGGGCGGGGGCAGGGGCAGGGGCAGGTTCCGTCAGCAAGAGGGGGGCAAAGGGGAATCCACGGAATGGATGTGGAGGGGAATTTCTGAGCTGGGAAAGCGAAAGTTCTGAGCCATAAATAGGAGGCAGTTGCAGCCTCACAGAGGCTTTCACACACATTCCCGGACCCCCTTGCACCCCACAAGGACGCCTGTGAGCTTTCCATCGCTCCCTCCCACTCCCGGCCAAGTTGCAGCCTCACAAAGACTCCATCTCGCCCAGAGATTCACCCAGGCTCACACTCACTGTCGGTCGCTGCTCTGTTCCCTCTCCATGGCATCCCAAGCAGCTGTGCTACTGGCCCTCAGCCTGCTGCTCCTCTGGACCTCCCCTGGTAAGGCTGAGGGCAGGCTTATGGTGGGCAGGGGGAGGGGGTGTCTAAATCTCAGGCTCCTTTGCTCTGCACCTGAGGGACGCTGCACTAGGTCTGCGTGTTTGGGGGAACTGGAGGGTTCCCTGAGCCCTGTGTGTGTACCTATGAATGTGGGTGTAACGGGGCCCCTGACTGTCTATCTCTTGATGTAACTCAGGGCCCATGGCTACTCCTCTCTCTGCAGCCTCTGTTCCCTGCTGCCTCAGTTTCCCAGACAGGAAAGAACAGTATATGTTAGTTTATAGTGGGGAGAATGGGAGACACTGAGACAGGGCTAATTGTCCAAGTATTTAACAATTCAGAAGTCCTCTAACCCAGGTCTCCTGCTACCCCATCCCCTACTCCTCACCTCTCCTTCCCACCCCCATGCTGTAAGCAGCATCAACTCTTCACTGATGTGGCAGTTGAAAGGTCCTGGGAGGGCAGCCCTGGTGGCTCAGCGGTTTAGTGCCACCTTCGGCCCAGGGTGTGATCCTGCAGACCCGGGATCGAGTCCCACTTAGGGCTCCCTGCATGGAGCCTGCTTCTCCCTCTGCCTGTGTCTCTGACTCTCTCTGTCTCTGTGTCTCTTGTGAATAAATAAATAAATAATCAAAAAAAAAATTAAAGGTTCTGGGAGAGAGGTTGGGGTGATCAGGGCAGCAGGAGGGCATTTGTGGAGCTCAGGGCAGTGGTTGTTTAGCAAACAGCTTAGAAGTACTTCAATATATTTAGCAACCATTAGAGTCATATTGATAACATACCAGCCCAAATAAGATTTAACTGCCCCTCCCCACCACACACACACACACACACACACACACACACATACCCCTACACACCTGTCCTTAATCCCATTTAGGGCTGTTGGGGGGGGGGGCCTTCCCCGCCTCAGGGTCACTGTGTCCTGACACTACTTTCTCTCCCCTACCCACTCCCCAGCTCTGGGTGGTGCCAATGATGCTGAAGACTGCTGCCTTTCTGTAACCCAGCGTCCCATCCCTGGGAATATCGTGCGAGCCTTTCACTACCTCCTCATCAAGGATGGCTGTAGACTGCCTGCCGTTGTGTGAGTTGTGGAGTGTAGCCTGTCTAGCCTCATCTCCTCCATCAGCCACTGGTGATACCCCTACCTTCTTATCTGTCTTCTCCTTGCCAAGCCCAACCTCTATAAGGAAGCCCCTGAAACAGGTTCCCAGATGTGGTCCTCAGCCTCTGCCCCTCACACCAGGGCCTGCCAGGAAGCTGGGTTCCAGGGCTCTGTTCTCTCTGACCTTTGACTTCTGACTCCAGGTTCACCACACTGAAGGGTCGCCAGCTCTGTGCACCCCCCGACCAGCCCTGGGTGGACCGCATCATCCGGAGACTGCAGAAGAACTCTGCAAAGGCAAGCCCAGCCCTCCCCAGCCCTGCCTCCTCCCTCAGAGCCCCTGCCCAAGACCCCAACCCATGACCTTGACTCTCCTTCCTCCCCTAGAACAAGGGCCACAGCAGTTAGCCCATGACAGCCCTGGAGGGAGTGGTGTGTATGAGAGAAGGGATGTGAATCACTGCAGCCCTGGGGAACCAAGGATGAGAAGGGAAACCAGGCCTCCAGCAACTCTGCACCAGACCTGACACAGCAGGCTCAAGGGCCTGGAGTGTCAATTTGAGTGTGAGTGTGAGCAGGGGTGAGTGTGGCAGGAGCACAGCTTCTCCGCACTCAGATTGCAGTGCTTCCAATAAAGCCCAACTGGTACCCACAGATCTGTCTGTCTGCTGTTTGTTATCTGTCTGGAAGGACTAGAAGAGAAAATGGGGAGATGGGATGGCAGGATCAAATTTTCCTTCTGCAACCTGAGCAACCTCTTCATGGACCCCTCCCTACTTAACACCCTGTGTCCTCGGGATCAATTCCCATGATCAGGGCCCCACCTCACGTTTCCTCACAGCGCTCTCACTCTGCATGGTTCAGTTCAGTTACACCAAACCTGTGTCTGTTCTGATTGAGCCAAACTCTCTCATGCCTCCCAGTCTTTCCTCTCCAAGGCAAAGTGTCCAGGTGTCTCAAGGATCATGTATCACCAGGGGGAAGGGAGTTGTCAAGAACCAGCTTTCAAAAAAAAAAAAAAAAAAAAGAACCAGCTTTCATGGCTGGGGGCAAGAAAAGGCCCAGCTCTACTGCCAGAGTGAGAGGGGGAAGTACCCATCCACCCACGCCATTCCCTCTGTCTGAACACTCTTCTCTCTCATCAGCTCACCTGCCTTCCCATCTGGGTCTTGATGACTCTTTCTCCAGGAAGCCTCCCCTGACTCCAGACTGGCTAGGTTAGGTAGCCTGCCTTCCTCCCAAGCTCCCAGGGGCCTTGCCCCCTCCCCCTATAGCACTCATCACACTAAGTTATAATTGATAGTTTGTCAGCGTTCCTCAGTAGGGACCGTATCTATTTTGGTTTCTAGTACACTGCCTGGCACAAGGTAGACACTCTGGCTAGAAAATGAATACATATGAGAGGAAAGGCTCAACAGCCAATGCTGAGGGCCCATCTGCCCACGTAGGATATTTCTTTTTTCTTTAAAGGTTTTATTTATCAGGACGCCTGGGTGGCTTAGCGGTTGAGCACCTGCCTTCGGCTCAGGGCGTAATCCCAAGGTCCAGGATTGAGTCCCACATCGGGCTCCTTGTGGGGAGCCTGCTTCTTGCTCTGTCTGTGTCTCTGCTTATCTCTCTCTTTCTCTCTCTCTCTATGTCTCTCATGAATAAATAAATAAAATATTTTAAAAATCTATTCATGAGAGACATGCAGAGACATAGGCAGAGGGAGGAGGCTCCCTGTAGGGAGCCTGATGGGGGACTCCATCCCAGTTCCCCAGGACCAAGACCTGAGCCAAAGGCAGACGCTCAACCACTGAGGCACCCAGGCACCCCTGCCCACACAGAATCTGGCTTTCAAGCTAGCCTTCCTTCCTCAGTCAGCTTGGGCCAGGTCCAGCCCATTTGAGCAATCCTGGAGCCTCACCTCTCAAAGGATACTGACAGACAGACCTGGGAGCCAGAAGTCAGAATGGGAGAGGACCCAAAGGGTGCAAGAAGGAGCAGCCAGGTAGCTGGGGAGATTTAGCATGGAGGAATCCTACCACCACCCCTGCAGCCCATGTGGGCACCAGGGCCAAGGCAATACTAAGACCAGGGAGGTACAGAGAAGGAGTCTCCTCCCCAGGAGGTGAAAGCACTGTGACTCTTGGAGCACACCACAGGGCTGCCCTGGGTGGAGTGAACTCCTGCTTGGGAAGTCCCCTGGGGAAGCTGCTGGTCTCCAGCTTGGCCTCTAAGGGCCTGTCCCGTTGAGAGCAGCAAGTCTGTGGCACTAGGGTTGGATGGCAGCTATGACAGCGAACTGAGCAACATCACCTGGGAAGAGAGGTTATCAATACACCAGATATTCCTCATCTGGTAACAGAACCAGGTCTGGGCAGCCTGGGAAGGGGAGCAGTGGTGAGGGGGTTGTGCCATCTGCTCCTCACTAAGCTGAGTGCTCAGCAGCTTCTTCCTCCCCTCTGCTCCCAGAAGTAAGGTATTCAAAATCTCAAAATCTGGGATCCCTGGATGGCGCAGCGGTTTGGCGCCTGCCTTTGGCCCAGGGTGCGATCCTGGAGACCCCGGATCGAATCCCACGTCGGGCTCCCGGTGCATGGAGCCTGCTTCTCCCTCTGCCTATGTCTCTGCCTCTCTCTCTCTCTCTCTCTCTCTCTCTCTCTGTGCGACTATCATAAATAAATAAAAATTTAAAAAAAAATCTCAAAATCTCAGATCTTAGAGTCACAGGAGGTGGGGGTGGGGGTGGGGATAGTTTGCAAGAACAACTGCTATAGCTGGGAAGTTTGGCTCTCCTGCCTGGAGGAAACTAGCCATCTAATTCATGCACCCATGCATAAATCCATTTAGCCATTTCTGCATCCATCAGACTGCCAGTCATCCATCCACTTCTCCACCCATCTACTCATCCATCATCCATTAATCCTTCCATCCATCATCCATTAAGGCAGCCAACCATGAAGCCCCAGGGTCCCAATAATAGACACCTTTTGGACCTGGTACCCTCTACTCCAACAGGCAGAGGAGAAACACAGGTGTGAAGAGAACACATCGCTTCAAATTCTTCTCAGTTCCCAGTGAAGCCAAGTAGAAGTCAGCCTGCCACAGAGGAGGACACAAAACCTCCTTTTGGATTCTTGGAGGGAAAAACCCAGATAGAGTAGGGGAAGTGAGGGCAGGAGCCCTGAAGAAGATGTTACTATGACAGAGGCCCTGGACACTACCTCCCTAACACTGCCACTGAGGGGCAGACAGGAACAAGTCCTGAGCTCAGTGCCCAGCCCACAGTATTGCTTCTGCATCTCATTGTGCTATTCCAGCCAAGTCTCTTCCTTATTCCCATCTCTAAAATCTTAGTTTCCCAGTAAGGTGTACAGAGAGAGGTGCTTAATTTTTTAGAGTTCCTCCAGGGGAAACCTGGGTGGCTCAGTCGTCTAAGCTTCTGCCTTTGGCTCAGGTCATGATCCCAGAGTCCTGGGATCAAGCCCTTCATCAAGCTCCCTGATTGGTGGGGAGTCTGCTTCTCCCTCTGCCCTTCTCCCCCGTCTCATCATGCTCTCTCTCTTTCTCTGAAATAAATTTAAAAAAAAATTTTTTTAAAGATTTACTAATCAATCTTTGGATTTCAAGCTAAACCCCCAGCATTCACGTAGGCTCCTCCAAAGTCATGCACATTCAGAAATGTCCCTACTTCTTGGGGCCCCAGGGAACACCCTCTGGAAACAAAGAAAGAGCTGAGACTCAGGAAGAGAGAAAATAATTCAGGAGCTAGTGAGGGGGCTTGGATTGAACAGCCTCTGGCCAGACCCTGGAGGCCTGGGGAATAAAGAATTTCGAGAGAGCCTGAGGGGACAGACACCAGAGTACCACAGGGAGCTTCTCCAGCCAGTGCCTTCCCTTCCCCAGCCACCAACGTCTCCTGGGCACTGAGTCTTACCCTCTCATCTCCTTGCCAGATACATGAGTGCTTAGCCCAGCAACCTGTGACTTGTTCCAACCCAAACATTCTCAGCACCTGCTCCCTATTTTACTATGATTTGCTGACAAGTGCCGAGTCGTCATCCCAAGCTCTGGCAGGGCAGAAGCCTACCTACCTGCCTGACGATGATGAGGCTGCCAGCTTCTCCAAGGGATAGTATGGACTTCAAGCTCCCCAACCAGAATACAGGGGCCTTGCCACCTGCCTCTAAGTAGACACCTTCCTGTCTAGGGCACATGGTGCTTGCTGCGGGTTTAAGGCCAACAACAGAGTAAAAACTCCCTACCCTGAAGGCCTAAGGCCCCAGCAGCCAACATCTCCCTAAAGAGACCTAACATCCCTGCTCAGAGAACTCCCAACTCCAGTCTACATGATGGACAAAAAGGATAAAAGTCCTGTCTATTGATAGAATTCCCAGAGAAAGGGATTGGACCTGTTCGTCTCCACTGCCAACATTGCTCTGCTCAGGGGCTGGCACAGAACAAGCCTCAGTACTTATTTGATTAACAAAAAATGCAACTGAAAATGGCCCTTTCCCATGCCCCACCCAACTCATACCTGGAGCACATCCAGTTCTCAAGACATTGGAGCTGTCTCTGTTTCATGGGTGTTTGGTAAGAGCCAGACCCATACGGTTTTGATCATATTTTCATCAGCTCATGTTCGATTTTTCGGTAAGCCCCCACCCCCAGGCTCCCCTTTTCTGGCCTCCGGGAAACTCAGAAAGAGCCAGAAAATCTTGGAAATAACAGTCTCACAAAGGAGCAAGTCTCCCAAGTGGGGAATTTCCTCAAGAACCCCTCTGTAAGAATAAGCTGGCACTTCTCTGGCTAGAGAACTTCTTCAGTGGCCCCTGAGACTTGTCTACATGAAAAGACATGGCTCTGTAGCACTAGCCTGTTCACCACTCATGCTGGGCACTGCTTTAAGTACTAGTATGATTCTTATGTTACAGCTGAGGAAACTGAGGTGCAGAGGTTAAATACTCGCCCAGGCTGGACAGACGATAAAGTGGCAGAGCTGGGGGCATCCTAACTGGGCAGTCTGGCTCCAGAATCTATACTCTAAGCTCCTACACATACCACATCTGTGAGTTCACCCATTTCCCAAATAAAAATGGGAAACAATACAGCAGGGCCAGGTCTAAGTAAGTGACCCTAAAGGAACACGGAAAGCCATTACTTTGTGGTGCTAACCATGTGTCAGGCTCCAAGCTGAGTCCTTTACGTGTATTAATTATATCACTTCATCCTCTAATAATCCTATGAGGTGGAGATCATTAGTCCCATTTTATATATGAGGAAATTGAGGCACAGAGAGGTAGTGTGAGCTCCCAAGTCCACTGAACTAGTGTGTGACAGAGCTGAGATTGCTTGATGCCTAGCACTTGCAGTGAGGGCTGAGGGCTGGGATTTCCAGTTGGGACATGTCTTGGATTGCTAGGAAAAGTTGGGGAAAAAAAAAAAAAAAAAAAAACAAGAGGAGAAGCTGGAGGAGCCTGTGCTTGAGCCCAGATGTAGAGATGCCACCTGGAGGGCCTCTAGCCTCCTGGCTCTCCAGCTGAAGGGGAGTTAGCTTCCCCAAAGCTTCCAGGAGGAAATAGGCACAGGTTCTCCAGGTCTGTTCAAGTCTCAGTATTCCCAGGGTGGAGTGGTGGAGATGGAGATCAGGCCACAGATATGCCCACATTTT